GGATTGTACATAGAAGGTGTTCAATAAACACTTGTTGGATCAAGGATGCATGCTCTGGAGCCAGAGTGCTCAATTTCCCACCACTTATTAGCTGTGTAATCCAGGCAATTTATTTAACCTCTTTATGCCTCTGTTTCCTTCTCTGCATAAAGGTATTAAGAGAGTCCTTAATTCATTGTGTTCTGTGAGGGATAAATGAGCTGACACCCAGTAAGAGCTGATTAACTGCTAGATGGCAGCGGCAGCAGCATTCACTATCACCTTCATTTCAGTCACAGATGAGGCCACAGTGCCCCCTGCTGACCACATCGTGTAAGTGCACATGCACATCAACCATGCCCTCCCTTCACCCTAGGTCCAAGGCTGGGTAGGTATGGCCGGGAAGTTTTCCCCTCACCTGCCTTCCCAGCCCCACGCCCAGCCACAATGACCTCCACGTCCCGTTCCTCACCTCCCCTCGAATCGGGTCCGGGCTGCTCACCACAGCGGACTCAGCCACCGCTGGGTGCTCTGCCAGGGCGTTCTCCACTTCTGCCGGCCCAATGCGGTACCTGCAGGACCAATGGTTCCTTCTGAGCCAATTCCCGGGCGAGGGTGACCCAGGCCCTCAGATCGCATCTTTTGGAGAGACACATCTTCCCTTGGCACGGAGGGTGTCTGTCACAGGGCGCCAGGGCCTGTGTGATGGGACTGAAATGTGAAGTCCTGAACGTTCCATGCTAAGAAATACAAGGCTCAGGTGCTCCCCAGGTGAGAGAGGAGGTGAATGCTTCATCCTCCCAGAGCTCTGGGGCTTGGCTCAAGCTCAAGCAGCTTCCCCTGGCATGAAAACTCCTTAGCTTAAACATTTGTACAAATTTTACAGCCTGTTCCTCACTATTATCAGCATTGGTTTTAGAAATTAAAAACAACAAACACAATTTTCCTGAAATTCCCAGGAAAACATGTTATTCTAGTGTAACGTGTCATTGTTTTTCTTTATAAATCATGTTCGAGTTAGGAACAACAGACTTGCAGTCAGACTGCCCTTGTTCAAATCTGGGCTGCACCCTGTACTGTCTTTGAAACTTCAGGCAACGTTTTTCACTGGTCACTGACTCCGTTTGCTCATGTAAAATGGGCATAATCATGCGAATTCCTTGGCCATCCAGTGGTTAGGGCTACGTGCTCCCACTGCAGGGAGCACGGGTTCAATCCCCGCTTGGGGAACTGAGGTCCTGCATGCCGAGCACTTGGGGCCTCCACACACACACCCTCCCCCCACAGAAAAAAATAAAATAAAATGGGCATAATCGCATCTACCTTACAGCATTGGGAGGTGGTTCGTATAAAGCTCTACAGAGAGTACGGTCACATAATATGTATTCCATAAAGGTGAATTTTATTATTGTTGTTTTTATGTGCTTCTGTGACACGTGGTTCATTACAGGAGCACACAGAATAAGCTCCCTCAACAAATAGGGCCCAAAGTCAAGTTTTCCTTCCCAGTGCCTTTAACTTTCATGATGTCTTACTTTGGTTCAGAGTTAGGCTGAGAGTCCATCACCAAGGCATGAAGGAATGTCTGGGCATGCTACCTCCCACCAGGCTCGTGAGGGTGGTACCTTCTGGCTCAGCGTCAGCCACACCTACCCGGAGGCATTGATGACATCATCGGCCCTCCCCAGGAACCAGAAGTAGCCCTCTGCATCAACAGTTGCTCTGTCCCCACTGTTGTAAAAGTCCCCACACTCCACTTCGGCTGTCTTCACCGGGTTACTCTGCAAAGACAACGACACTCCTCTGTCAAAAGCAGTGAGTTTAGAGATGATGAGCTACAACAATGAGCTCGGATCTGGGTTTGAATCCTGCTTCTGGCTCTACCTGGCACCTGGGCATTTTTTATAATCTCTCTGAGTCTACTTTCATTACATGCAAGCACTCAATGCATGCCACTGGTCGATTAGGGAACAATGTTCAACCAATTTTAAGAACAATATTTTTTTATTTATTTCATTTATTTATTTTTGGCTGCGTTGGGTCTTCGTTGCTGCACGCGGGCTTTCTCTAGTTACGGCGAGCGGGGCTACTCTTCATTGCCGTTCACGGGCTTCTCATTGCGGCGGCTTCTCTTGTTGCGGAGCATGGGCTGTAGGTGTACGAGCTTCAGTAGTTGCGGCATGTGGGCTCGGTAGTTGTGGCTCACGGGCTCTAGAGTGCAGGCTCAGTAGTTGTGGGACACAGGCTTAGCTGCTCCGCGGCATGAGGGATCTTCCTGTACCAGGGATTGAACCCGTGTCCCCTGCATTGGCAGGCGGACTCTCAACCACTGCGCTACCATGGATGTCCCCAGAACAATTTTTAGAAATAACAACTCACTTTTGTGTGCCACTCCAGTAAAATAAAATTACCACTAGAGCATAACTCTATTTTATTCCCTGTTATAAACTCTGCATTTACACAGTGGCTGGACAGATGGGAGGTGTCAATAAATGTTTGCTGAATGAATTTTCTTCCCAAAATATTACCTTATTTGAGCCTCAGAGAAAGCCTATGAAGTTGGTATTCTTCATTAAACTTTAAGATAATTGTATATTTGCATGCAGTTATAAGAAATAATACAGAGAGATCTCATGTACCCTTTATCTAGTTTCTCCCAATGGTAACATCTTGAGAAAATATAGTTCAATATCATAACCAGGATATTGACATTGATACCATCCACCAATCTTACTCAGGTTTCCCCAGTTTTTTACTTGTACTCATGTGTGTGTGTGAGAGTGTATCTAGTTCTATGCCATTTTATCACATGTGTAGGTCCATGTATCTATCACCACAGTCAAGGTACTGAACAGTCCGATCATCACCAGGATCTCTCACGTTGCTTTTATAACCACATCCACCTCTCTCCTCTCCCTTCCTCCACCTTCCTTCCCATACCTAACCCCTTGGCAATGACTAACCTATTCTCCATTTTTATAATTTTGTCATTTTAATAATGTAACATAAATGGAATTCTATAGTATATAACCTTTGGGACTGGCTCTTTTTTAAACTCAGTATCATTCTCTGGGGATCCATCCACATTGCTGTGTTCATCAATAGTTTGGTCATATTTATTGCTGAACAGTATCTCACGTTACGGATGAGACACAGTTTAACCATTCACCCACTGAAGGGCGTCTGGGTAGTTTCATTTTTAACTATTATGCATAAAGCTGCTGTGAACCTTACAGATTTGTGTGAGGCTGGCATTTTTTAGCCCGTTTTACAGAAGAGGAAACGGATGTTCAAGGAGGCACAATAACTCACTCAAAGTCACTCAGCTGGGCAGAGGGAGGGTTGGCATTTGAATTTACAGCCTATGCATGTGACCACTAAGCACTGTGTTGGGATTTATCTTCTTCTGGAACATGGAATAATTTTAAGAGGTTTCAGAAAAAAAATCTTTAAACATTAAATTGCATCCTTTATTAGAGTCCCGTCCAATTGGTCTGATTATATTGAGATTCTCGGACGTATTTTTAAAAGCTCTGGAACTACCAAGAGGAAGATAAGTTTCCATTTCAGAGCTTTTTTTGCCTTTAATTTTTTATTTCTATACAGTTTTAAAGGTAACTTTCCATTTAGAGTTATTACACCATTTCAGAACTTTTAGTGAAAATACAAGTTAGCTAGAATTTAAGAAAATGTTTTGTGTGTATTATAGTTATGGTTATAATTGCCTCCTGTTTCTGGGAAGAGATACTGTTTTCCACTTGAGATACCAGATCAAATTCTTTTTTAAACAAATGCTTTAAAGTAGTAATTTGATTTAAAGTGAAAAATAATGTAAGTAATAGTATAGATGGTGCATGGATATGGCAGAAAATAGTTGACGTGGACTTGAATGACTGAAATTTAGGAGACACCACATCAAAGGGTACAGAAAAAGTCCCACCCCCAATTCATGTACCATTTGAACTGCTGTCCATCTCAGTGTACTCTGATACAGTTGACCTGACACATCCCCGTGGACACGTCTTCCCTGAAGGAAATGATATTTCCTGATGTCAATCATCTGAGGTAGGGTCAGAGATTGGAACCTTGCAGATGGGACTCCCACACCCACGGAAGGAATTCCTTTGTCTCTCCGGGCCTGAACTTCTTGGAAGTAGATCTCAGAGCCATTGAAGAGCTCCTGAATGGTAGGAGAATAGTATCACATCTACCACACAGAGAGGGTCAGAGTCTACAGGGGCACCTAATTGAGTTCTTCACCTTGACTACTTTTAAAAAGTGCTACTGGTGGGTGATGTCAAGAAAACATGGCAAATGAGGAAGATTTAAGGTCTCATTTCCCCCAAAAAACCACAAAAAATGTACAAGAAGTTGAATTGACTATGTACGACGTCTGGGAAAGAGTCAAAGGCTTAAAACAACCTTATAAATACCCAATCAAGAAAAAGCCACCTTAAAAATGGTACAAAGTTTTGTGACATTTTATTCACCCTTGCTCCAGCCTTTCTCCTGCATGGCAGTTTTGGTCTTGAGCAGATGGCAGCCCAGTTCCCAGTTCCCCTGCTCCAACCAAAGAGAGCAGAGAAGATCTCATTTGCAAATTATTGTACACACCTGTTTTAACCTGTCTCAGGATAATGGGAGGACTGGTGCAAGGCACGCAGTTCATGTAACTCAGAATATAAGTGGGAAAAGCAATAGGAACTGTTCATAGGAGCTACCTGGAAGACTACAAAACTGAAAGATGCCTGAGGTAAGAAATTATGGGTGGAGATATACAATAGATCATCAAGGTCTGGAGGAGAAGCTGGGGTGAGATTCTTTCAAGAAATTAGGATATTCAAGACAGCTGTGCACATGGTGGTATTTAGAAAACCATGCGCATACCTGAGCAAGACGTGTGCTCACAAGAGTCCTAAGAAGACCTTAAGGTTGCACCTCAGACTGATCTCTAGGCTCAGAGCAAGCCTAGCTAAGTGATGAAGGAGTACCCCAGCACAGACCTAACTTGTACAATGGTTGTTCTCTCCTTTTTGTTGTCATTGGTATTTTTGTTTGTTTGACCTCTTGACACTCAAGAAAATCTCTGTCAAAACATTAGCTGAACATGAGCTAAATGATCAGAAACTTCAGTGTGATCACACATGGCAAATAACTGTCGTTACAAGAAGAGTTTGGAAACGTCCCAAAACAAACATACTGTCATAGGCTTCAACGGTCAACAAAACAAAACAAGAACAACAACAAAACCCCAGACACCCCAACACTCAGGGAAGCAGGAGAATCTGATTTCTAGAGTTACCACATTGTAATAGTGAGAGGCCCAATATTCAACTAAAAATTACAAGACATACAATGAAACAGAAATCATGCCTCAGGACTTCCCTGGTGGTCCAGTAGTAAAGAATCCACCTTCCAATGCAGGGGAAACGGGTTCATTGATCCTTGGTCGGGGAACTAAGATCCCACATGCTGTGGGGCAACTAAGCCTGTGCGCCACAACTACTGAGCACGTTTGCCTCAACTAGGCAGTCCTCATGCTGCAAACTACAGAGCCCACCCACTCTGGAGCCTGTGCGCCATAAGTAGAGAGAGAAAATCCACACACCACAACTAGAAAGAAGCCCGCACGCTGCAACAAAATATCCCAGATGCCACAACAATGATCCTGTGTATTGCACTAAGACCCTACACAGCCAAAAGTAAAAAATAAATAAATAAAATAAATAAATATTAAAAAAAATCATACCTCATTCAAAGGAATGAAATTAATTGACAGAAACCATCCCTGAGGAAGCCCAGGCATAAGACTTACTAGACAAACAGTTTAAATCAAGCTTGTTAAATGTGGTCACAGAGGCAAAGGAAGAAATGGACAAAGCACTACAAGAAGTCAGAAAAGTGACATGTGGACAAAATGAGAATATCAACAAAGAGATGGAAATTATGTAAAGACACTAAACAGACTTTCTAGAAAAGGGCAATAACTAAAACAAAAAATTCACTGAAGTGTTTGGCAGCAGTTTAAAACAGGAATAAGAAAGAATCAGAGAGTTGAAGGCAGAACAATAGAAGTTATTGGGTCTGAGGAGCAAACAGGAAAAAAATTGAAGAAAAGCAAACAGAGCCTAATGGACTTGCATGACAGCATCCAGCAGACAAACATGTGCATTATGAGAGAAGGAAATGAGACAGAGAAAGGGACAGGAATAGTATTTGAAGATATAAGGGGCAAAATCTTCTCAAATGTAATGAAACACATGAATTTACAAATACAAGAAGTTCAAAGAAATCCAATAAGATAATCCCAAGAGACCCACACCAGGATACATAAAAATCACAATATTGGAAGCCAAATAGAATCTTGAAAACAGCAAGAGAAGTGACTCATCACATACAAGGATCCTCAGTAAGATTATCAGCTGATTCTCACAGGAAACCTTGAAGGCCAGAAGTGGTGGGATTACATATTTAAAGTGCTGAAAGAAAAAAAACTATCTATCAAGACTTCTCTATCCTGCCTTCAAAACGCTCCTTAAAAATGAGGAAGAAATTAAGATATTTTCAGATAAAAGCTGAGGGAGTTCATTACCACTAGACATGCCCTAGCAGATATGGTAAAGGGAGGTAAACACAGAGGTTAAAATGAAAAGACTCTAGACATGTGTCAAATCCATATAAAGATATCTTCGGAAAAGTTAAGTGTGTGGGCAAAAAAGCTTAGCTAACATCATTCTCACTGGTAAAAGACTGAAAGATTTTCTCTTAAGATCAGGAACAAGACAAGAGAGCCTGATCTCACCATTTCTACTCAACAAAGTATTGGAAGTTTACCCAGATCAATTAGGCAAGAAAAAGAAATGAAGCACCAAAATGAAACAGAATTAAAACTAGATCTGTTCACAGATAACATGATCTTACATGTACAAAACCCTAAAAAACTTTCTCTCACACACACAAATTGTTAGAGCTAATAAAGGAATTCAGCAAAGTTATAGGAAAGAAAATCAATGCACAAAACTTAAGGTGCAGTTCTATACTTTAACAATTAACAATCCAAAAAGGAAATTAAGAAAACATCAATAAGAATACAATACTAAGGATAAATTTAGTATAGAAGGTGAAAGACTTGTACACTGAAGATTAAAAATCACTGCTGAAAAAGAGAAAGAAGACATAAATAAATGGAAAAGCATCCCGTATTCATTGATTTGAGACAATATTAAGGTGACAATGCTGCCCAACATTATCTACAGATACAATGCAATCCCTATCAAAATTTCAGTGGTGTTTTTTGCAGACATAGAAAAACCCATCCTAAAATTCACATAAAATCTCAAGGGATCCCAAAGTGCAAAAACAACCTTTAGAAAGGAGAAAAAAGTTAGAGGACTTAAACTCCTGATTTCAGAAACTTACTTCAAAGCTATAGCAAACAAAACAATGTGATATGTTCATAAAAAGAGACATACAGACCACTTGAAGAGCATAGAGAACCCAAAAAGTAACCCTCACATATACTGTCAATTAATTTTAGGCAAGGGTGCCAAGACTATTCAGTGGGAAAGACAGTCGTTTTAACAAATGGTGCTTGGAACCTTGGATGTCCACATGCGAAAGAATGAAGTTAGCTTATATCATACACAAAAATTAATTCAAAATGGATCAAAAACTTAAATGTAAGAGCTGAGCTTATAAAACTCTTGGAAGAAAACACAGAGGAAAATCTTGCCTTGGATTTCACAATGATTTATTGAATATGATATCAAAAGCACAGGAAATAAAAGAAAAATATTGAATACATAAAATGTTCACCAAATTTAAAAACTTTGTATGTCATAGGATACTATCAAGAAAGTGAAAAGACCACCCACTGAATGGGAGAAAATATTTGCAAAGCATATAATTTGCATATCTGATAAGGTATTAATATCCAGCCTACATAAAGAACTTTTACAACTTAGAAACAACAACAGAAAAATGAATAAGCCAATTAAAAATGGGCAAAGAACTTGAATAGACAATTCTCCGAAGATATACAAATGGCCAATAAGAACATGAAAAGATGCTAGTCATTAGAGAAATGTCAATCAAAACCGCAATGAGTTACCACTTCAAACCCATTAGAATGGCCATTATTAAAAATAAACTGAAAATAGCAAGTGAGTGTAAGGATATGAGGAAATGAAAACCCTTGTGCATGTGGAAAACATGTATGGCAATTCCTCAAAAAGTTAAACAGAATTACCATATGATCTAGCAATTCCATTTCTGGGTATATAACCAAAAGAAGGGAAAGCAGGGACCCAAACAGTTACTTGCACAATCAGTGTTCATAGCAGCATTATTCACAAAGGCCAAGAGGTGGAAACAACCCAAATGTCCATCAAAACTTGGTATATACATGCAATGGAATATTATTCAGTCTCAAAAGATGACAGTTTGCTAAAACATGGATGAACCTTGAAAACATGGTGCTAAGTGAAATAAGCCAGACACAAAAGGGCAAATGTTGTATGATTCCACTTATATGAGGTAACGAAAATAGGCAAGTTCTTAAAGACAAAAAGTACCATTAGAGGTTACCAGATGCGGGGAGATGGGGGCTAGGCAGCTATTGTTTAATGGGAACAGAATTGCTTCTGAGGATGGAGGAAATTGTCTGCAGACGCATGGTGGTGATGCTTGTGCAATATAGTAAATTTTACTCAGTGCTACTGAACTCTATGCTCAGGAATGGTGAAAAGGGTAAATTTTATATCATATATATATATAAACCTACAATAGAGTATAAGGAAACCTGCTGTAACTCTTCATCAGACAAACCCTAATTAGCAGGGTTTAGGTCATGCCTCAATAAAAAGAAAATAAAAGAACAGAATATAAGCCAACAAATCTCAATGGAAGAGTGACATGTCTCATTGCCATGAGAACGTGTGAAATGAAAGAAATCAGTGTGGCCATATGTGAAGACATCTTTGCAAAATAAAATACGTTATGTACAATTTTTTTTAAGTCATGGCTTTGTACCATGCCAGTTCAATTTAACCAGAATCTCTGCGGTTGGATCCAAGTATTTAAAAAAAAAGAACCCCTCAAATGATTCTAACGTGCAGGCAGTATTAAGAACTGCTGATCTATATACCTGTTACTCTGTGTTCATTTTGCCTTTTATCCAACCTTTACACTGTGCTACTGAGAATCAAGGCTAAGGCTTGCATGATTGCTTCTGGACAATAGTACCACGGAGGGTCAGGGCCCCACCCACCCACCCAAGGCCACAGTGTGAGCACAACAGTGACACCAGTGGCTGTGACTTTGTAGAAAGGAGATGGAGTCTGAGATCAATTTCAGGGTCTGTCTACCCTTCTACGGTCCACCTTGGAAGCTGAGGATTTCCTCTTAGTGGCCACTGCTAGCTAGGGTATGTCTGATGAAGAGTTACAGCAGGTTTCCTTATACTCTATTGTAGGTTTCTGTAGTCCCTGGATTTCTCATTTAGAGTTTGGGGTCCAAAACACACCACTTTGAATCCTAGGCCTGCCATTTATTTGACATGGGAAAGACACGTAAAGCTTCCAATCTGCAGTTTCTTCCTCTTTCAAGTGGGGATAATAGTGCCCCTGGAGGCTCAGCGAGTATAACAGATTTGTTTGCACCCTGTTGGTAAGTGCGGTGGTATCATGTGAACCCAGTCAAAGCCAGCATTCTTAACCACAAGAGATCACTGTAGCCCAAGTCTGGTGGTTCTGAAGCCAGGCTATTTTCTACCCCAACAGTCAGCCCATAAGTGCCAGATGGGTTATGACAGAAAGGGATGTGGGAACACACTATGAGCTTTGAGATTAATTAGAACAGGTTTCATTGACTTGGAGTGAATAAAGGAAGAAGGAAGAAGTCTCAAGATGCAGAGTTGGGTCCAGTCCCTTAGCACCTACACAGCTCCCTGCAAGGATTCTTGGACCGTGTGGGGGCAGATAGGGTGTCCTTACCTCATAGCACATGAAGACGCCTATGGGCCTGGTGGGCTTGATCCTGATGCCAATGTTTCCTTCAGTGTTGGGCGGCAGGATGTTGCCCTTGTCATCAATGATCTGGAGCAAGAGACCTGTGAATCCCACCCTGCAGGGATCCCCAACACTCCTGCTCCACCCAAATACTGCCTGGCTCATTCATGTGACACAGTGGGGGTTATTGGGGGAGGAGGTTGTGGTAGAGGAGCCCTGTCAGAAAATAGAATAAAACTGTCAAAAGTCTTTGAAATCAGCAAATGGTAAAACCCAAGCCACGGGTCTATGTGTTTCATGCATATATAGACATCACAAATGTGTCTTCAAGGTAGAAAACACAGATCAGGAAAATCTAAAGGCACCCGCAGTGGAGAGAGCCGCCTGTGCTACTGCAAGTACTCTTTCCCAGGCTCGGTGCATGAGGCCTCTGGTTGTCCTGGCAAGCTGCACTCACGCCCAGGACATTGCAGTTCTCAACTGAAAACTCCACAGGAAACTGGAGGAAAAGTAGGCAGAGAAGAGGAAGGGCAACCGGGAGGCATGACTGGTTCTGTCACCTCGTGTCACACAATGGTCCAACCCTAGCCGAGCACTAATGTCTACCAATGTCTTTACCACCAGACCTGAATGTCGTAGGGTGGGATGGCCTTCCCCATGGAACCTGGCTTGATCTTCATCCCCCGGAGAGTGCCACAACTTATTCCCTGTTCACAAAAGAAGAGAACTGGGGTTGGCGAAGCGTCCAGGCTGATCACAAAAACACAGCATCCTTGCTTACAGATGTCATTTGATGCTGTGCAAAGAGCCCTCGTGGAGAAGCTAGAAGGCATCGACCCCACTCTAGTCAGCAGACATTCACTGCACCTGACATGGGCTGGGCCTGAGCCCAGTGCTGGGGCTACAGAGTCCAGTGGGAGAGGCCATGAAGAAGCAGAGGAGTGAGCCCAGGGCTGTGGGCATGTAACGTAGGGTGCGGAGTGCCCACTGTATTCCAGACATGTGTCCCTTTGCCGGGGAGGGCCGTGAGTGTATGTAACGACCGTTTACTTGTAGCTGCCTCGACTGCTTCTCAGAGCTGTGCTGAGGTTATTCAGATTGTTCACGTTGTTCCCCTACCCCCACGTCTTCCTGATGAACCTTATTCCTTCTTCATGGTTCTCGAAATTATCACTTTCCTAAGGTTAAGCGCTTCACACACAGAGAGACCAAGGTTTGAATCCTGACTCCACCACTCACTAGCTATGTACCAAGTAATCCCCCTTGATCTCCTCCTCTGTCAAAGGGGGGTAATCATAACATTATCGCTTAGAGTGCTTGTGAGTGTGTGCCAGGCACACACCAAGTATTCAGTAAACAACTACTACTAGCTATCATTCAGGCCCTAATAAAAGGAAGTTGGGAGATCCTCTTTCTGTGGTATTTTTCCCCACACTTCTATTGTTGCTTGTCTGTTTCCCTCAGTAGATAATGAGCATTCAGAGAATAGAGACTGTCCCATCCATCTCTGCACCCCCAGCATCTAAACACAATACCTACCTAAAAACAACATTGACAACCATAGCTGCAATAGGGGTTAGACACTGTGGACAGAGCTTTGTATACTTTCTTTCATTTACCTTATCGTAACCTTGCAAGACTGGCATATTTCCATTTTGGAGATGGGGAAGCTAGACTCTGCAAGATTCAGTGATATGCCTACAGTCTCGAAGCCTATAACTGGCAAGGCTGAGATGTGAACTGGGGTCAGAGCTCCTGAGAGAGGAAGTACTTTCCCCTCTGCAATGTCACTGCTTACCCTACAGGCACGTGGAAAATGTCACAGAAATGAGTGGATAGGTGTGAAAATGTTTGGAGAAATAAAGCCCCATCCGGGTATCGGGGAGTATTCTGTTGTTATGAATAGTTGATGTAAAGGGACTAGTGTCATGGGTGTAGCAATGTAGTTCTAACCTCACCCTTCTTGTCTGAATGCAAACTGTGAACCAGCAAGGACAGACCTAGAGTCTTAACATTTCTCAAGACTGGAAGCAGACCCAGTAACTGATTATTTATTTATTTATTTATGCAAAATAATGTCAGACAAGTATGTCAATTGGGACTGAAACGGCTATTTTGCTACAGGACCTGAGAAGACAATCATACCTCTGTCAGCTAAAGGGATGATAGGGAAGTAGGGGAAAGTGGCTCTGCCCAGCATCGGAAATGCATTGAAAAGGTGTTAGAAGTGAGATACCTGCCCACACTATCATGGATAAAGTCCTTGAGATTCAAGACATGAATGATTCTTTGAATGCCCTGCCCACCTGACTGGTCAGTGATCCTCTTTGGGATCACACTGTGTGTGTGTGTGTGTGTGTGTGTGTGTGTGTGTGTGTGTGTGTGGCGTGTATATAGAAGATCTCTCCTCCTGCTAGTGTCTCACCATCAAAGCTGTGTGCTCTCCTCATAAACACCCAGAAATGAACTAGTGAACTTCCGGGGCTAGCTCCGGCCTGCTCCTGTGGTTGCTGCCTAGGAAGGGACGGTGAAGTGGACAGGACTTGCAGTGCTGGCTTCCATGTCTCTGGAGAGTGCCTTCTATGCCAGTGCCCCTCCTGGGCGCCCTTAATTATAACTAATTATCACAGGTACAGTGGCACCATGTCCTTAGACCCCTTTCTAGGTTTTTGTCCAATAGTTTTCAGCACATTGGTCTTTTGACAAGTTGATGAGCTGCAACTGTCCTTTCTGCAAATTTATTTGGGACAAATTAAGCCTAGAGCTCTGGAGCCTCCCGTTGGCTTTGAGCAATGCTGTGTGCTCTGCACACACTCATAGCAGGATTCAGCTCATCTGCTGGGCTCAGTGGACGAGCACATCCTGACTGGCCCAGAGGGACCATTCACCTACCGTTTCTGACTGTCCGTAGGCCTGGTAGAGCAGAATGCCTGTCTGTCTTCTCCACAGTTCTTGCTCCTCGGGCAGCAGGGCCTCCCCACCAGTACAGCAGTGCTCCAGGGTGGGGAACCTGAGACTGAGGGGAAGGCAAGGTGTCAACAGAGCCTCCGCAGACTGGGCTTGGGCGCTCTGCCCCAGGCCCAGGGAGAGCTCAGAGCATTGTCATCTGGATCATTCATCCTTCTGCTTCTTTGCTTTCTTACTTGCCTTCTGGGCATTTTACTGGTGGTCAAGTCCAAGTGGAAGTCATTTCCTGTTGGTACCTGTTAACTCATCTGGCAGGGGTAGGTGGTGGTGGTGGTGAGGCTAATGGGTTAAATCAGGGAGATCAGGATTGAATATGGATGTTGATGTAACAAGAGGGAGAAAAGTGTGCTTGGAACACATTCTAAGTATTCTATGTGGCTAAGAGGGTTATTTTTATAAACCATAAGGGCTGAGGGATAAGACCCCAAGGATATGCTAGGATGGTAATAGAACTGTACTGCCTTCTGGGAAGAGTGGGCTTATGTGAACTGAAGGCCTTTTGTGATTCTGGCTGGAGAACGCAAATTAGGGTTAGAAATGAATTGCTCGGGACATCAAGGAAGACCAGGATTCATGTAAGTGAAGAGAAGAAGGATCACAGGTAAGAGCCCTGAGAGCAGGAATTTGGGAGAGAACAGAAAAGTCTGCTGTGAATATTTGCAGTAGTTTGCTAGGTACGTTGTGCGATGTAAATCCTCTCATCTATTTTCCCCATGAAGATTTCCATAAATAATACAAAAACCATCACAAAATAATGATGGATTCCCTGTAGGAAATGGGTAGAAGTGATTGGGGTCTTAGTACCACTTTGCACGGGACTGAGCTGAGCTAGCTCGTAGGGATGAGGGAGGTGGCAGAATCCCTTGTCACCCTCTCCTCATATATACAGAGCCTGTAGTGATGGACAGCAGGGCTGGCTTCATTGAGGGTATGTTCCTCATTCTTCTTGAGCTTTATCCAATGTACATAAAATGGGCAGAGTCTCCAATAGAGTCAATATTCATGCCCTGGTTGAATTTGTATGGGGTTTGTTCACCATCTCAAGAACGTTGCAACAAGTAGCTGTAATATGAGCTTAGAAATACAGTTGGAAACATAATTCTGTCAGATTGAGGGTTCATGAATAAAATCAAGCTGTATTTCAGTTATCTTCATAAATTGAACTCCTTGATATTTTAAGTCTTATATGTCTAAAACACGTTAGCTCTGATTTTGAAGTAGCCATTTCAATTTCAGAGTCGCTAAAACATACATAAACAACCATAAGGTTCAAAGAGCAGATTTCAGGTGAGCTAAAAATTAATCCACAAACATGGGGAAATGCAAAAATAAAATTACAGTGTGATACTACATACCCATCAGATTGGCAAAAATTAAAACTTGGACAAAAACAAATATTGTCAGAGATGTGGAACAATGGGAATTCTCCTACCCTGCTAGGGGGAGCATACCTTGGTTCAATACTTTGGAAAATAAGGTAGTAGGGTGCAATGACAGTGTGACCTAGCAATTCCTCCCCCAGAGAAGATCTACAGCAATGTGTGTTTACGTGTTTATGTACATGTTCAAAAATTCAATGCAGCATTAATCATCAATAGTCCCAAACTGAAAACTACCCAAATGCCCAATAATAGAACTGATCAAAAATGTGCGACTTTCATAAAATGTAATGTTATACAGCAATGAAAATTAACTCCAGCATTATTTAACAACACGGACACTTCTTAGAAACATAATGTTGAAAAAAGAAGCAGATATTACGGAATAATGTACGAATACATGAAGCTCAAAAGCAAGTAAAGTAATTTGTCTAGGGATATTTCCTGTGTAAACTATGAGGGAAAATAAGGAAATGAACACCATAAAAGGCAAGATAGTGGATTCCTTTAGTGGAGATGGAGAGGCATGAGGAGGTCTCTGGGGACACTGGCCATGTTCTATCTTTGGGCCTTCAGTGAGCAGTTACATAGCTGTTTTATTTTCAACAATTCATTAATCTGTAAATGTATATCTTATATACTTTTCTGTATGTTTACTTGACAACAAAAATGTTTATAAAAAAAAAACCCACAATGTTGCAAGGCTCACTGAGTGTTTCATTTGGTTCCCTGAATCCTGTTGAAAGAACCAATTAGACTAGCTGCTAAATATCACCACCAACATTTACCCCCCACCACCCACACACACAGTATCCTCAAAGCACCATAGCTAAAATCAGTCAGAGCACAGTGCATCAGATTACTTAAAATCCTACCCGAAGATTCCTGTTACCAACCGCAGCCACTTCTACCATACCTGGTGGAATTCTGCTGCAGAATCATTCGAAATACAGAGGGCGCAGCAAAGCATTGGGTAATAGGGTATTTGAATAAAGTCTAGAAAGTTAGGAGAGAAAAAATTTTATCTTTGCCATTAAAATTTAAAACATAGATTTGTTATTAGCATTTTAATTCTGACCTCTCCTCTAGGACAGCCCATTTATTCATCTGTTAATTCTTTCAGTATACCTAAATGGAGCATGAATTCCGTACATGGCATGTGTCAAGCTCAGCGGATGGGTAGGGAGGGAATGAAGGGAAAGTTTTGTTTTGTGAATTTGAATGGTAAATTTTTAATTTAACATTTTTCGTTTTAGTCACTATCTCCCATCTTCAATAGGAGAGACTGAAACCAAGTAATTTTAAAAGTTTATTTTTAAAAATTCACGAAAGTAATAATTGTAAAGTAAATTAAACAATTGAACTTTCAAATGCAGGGTTTGGGGTAAATTTGTAGACTCAGTTCTTTGAAATAATTCAAGCTTAAAATACACTGAGACTGTGGGGACACCCCTTGTAGGGGAAGGAGAATTAGACCTGGTGGGGGAAGGAGAGAGGTGGTTCATTGTGGTTCGTGCAGTTCTATGCCTCAGAGACTGGCAGGATGCAGGCAGAAAATAATGACGGAGAGGCAGATGTTGACATAGGGGCAGGGAATGAGAAGTGGGAGGTACAGTTTCAGGTGCTGGAGGGATGAGCAGATGAACTTAACCAACCAGCAGAAAAACAGGCAGAAACTAGCCTGGAGAGAGAAGACTGGACAGTTTTGAGAGCCACCTGAGTGGATGTACCTGCTGGAGAAATGGAAGTAAAGGAAGCTGCTTAGAGGGGAGGGAAAGTTGAGGGCAGAGCCTTGGATGACTACGGTGTTCAGGGGTGAGCTGGGGGAACAGGCGGTAGCTGTAGCAAGTGGAGAATGTTCTGTGGAGCAATCTGACCTTAAGGGAGGAGAGACGGGGGCTGGTCCGAGGTGTACCAGGGTGAAGGGCGGGTGTTCTTAGGATGAGGAACTTTGAATATGTTTATGGGCTGAGGGAGTAGAGTCAATGAAAAGTGAGAGATTGCAAATACAGGAGAAAAGGTTTAATGAGTTAAAGATTAATAGAGAGGGGCTCCAAACACAAGGGCAGGGAAAAGAACAGGATCGGCAGCAGGTGTCAGGAGGGAGTTGGACGTTGAGAGGTGAAGGGACAGGTCTGCCTCTGAGACAGAAAGCAGGGGAGTGAGCGGAGACGCAAAGACAATTTTTTTTTTTTTTTTTTTTGCGGTACGCAAGTATGTGGGATCTTCCTGGACCGGGGCACGAACCCGTGTCCCCTGCATCGGCAGGCGGACTCTCAATCCCTGCGCCACCAGGGAAGCCCACAAAGACAATTTTTAAGTGAAGAGAAATACGCTGAAGGAGCTCACGCAGGTGACCTCAGTTATTATCATGGTGTATGCATAACAGCAACTGCTGCCACTTACTGAGTGTTCTCTCTGGGTGCGTCTCAGGGCTAAGCACTTTACACACCTTTCCTATGTCATCTCGTTAACATTCCCAACAATTTTGTGGAGATAGTAACCATTAAGACTCTCATTTTACAGATAAGGAAACTGAAGCTCAGAGTGGTAAGCAAACCACCAATAAATGTCAATCATGGGATACGAAACTAGATCTGTCATATTCCAAGGCCTTTGTTTCTAAATATGTCATTAAATTGAGTAGCCACACAAATACAACATTCACACACCAGCACCTGGCCCTGGTAGAGCCAGGATCCAGGATCCAGGAGACCTGAGCTTGTTCTGTTTGCTTTCATTTCTCAAAACGTATATTCTGGTTCCCAGGTCCACAGAGTCTGATCCATAGGTCTAGGGAGAGGTTTGGAATGTGTGTTTTCTTCAAAGTTACCTCTTGATGTAATTCTGATACGATGATTGATTCAGTGCTTCACACTTTGAGAAACCCAGAGCCAGGGTTATATTATGCTAAGAGTTATACTAAGAGGCTTCTTTGCTAATAAAGTATTTTCTCAGTTGGATCCAGTTTTTGAACTCGAAATGTTTTTTCCGGGAGTTTGTTGATATCGAAAGGTTCGTCCTCTTACCTGTACAATGACCTTGGGGTCAAACTGGGGCAGATGATGGACAAAGACTGTAGACCCCGCTGTCCACGGTTCAAGCAGGGACCCTCCAAAAGCCAGAATCCAGCCTGTGTCTGACAGGCACCAGAGGACATCAGATGTCTTCAGCTGCAGTAATTTCCTGCTAACTCCAAAATACAGTTAGCCTCAGATACCATTCTGACTACTATACTATCCTCCCTTCTCTCCACCCGCATTCCTCCAGGATTCTGCTACTCAGTTGTTATCATTAACACAGATACCAACCATCTACAAAAAGCCTTCTCTGTCCCCCTGGTCTGGTTAATAAGGTACAAAGTATATAGAACGTGGTCTGGTTTGAATATTACTAGTTGGGGGATGGAGAGAAGGGAGAAGAGTTTGGTTTAAAACTGATTAAATGGTTAATCCAGTTTCAGCCTCTATGTTTGTTCCAGGTTAGGGCAGTGGCTTGGTATGGCTTAGTTCCAGGTATTATTTTTCCCTAACAGTTCACGATGGGGAAACTCTATGCCGGATTTGTCCACAATCAAGGAGAGGAGAGGACCTGTCACGTAAGTTCACATTGCTGGAGCATTTTATCTTTCCCCACCAAACCCTGGAACTACTGATAGGGACACAGGGGCTTGTCATTTGTGTGGTTTGCAGAATGCCTGCTTTTTCCACCCACATCTCCTCCATGCCTCCTGTAAAGGTGCTCAGGCAGGACCCAAAAGTGCCTCCTTTGTCATTCAGATGCCTCTGTCAGTCTATACTTCTCACACCCTTAGGGGTCTGAACCAAAGAGAGCAGAAAGGATAAACAGCATAGGGTCAATTCCACCAAGAGTTCCTTTCCCGGGACATACACATACACATATGCATACACACTTCACCCCAGATCCGTGGCCCAGCTTCTAAGCTGGTGCCCTCTCTCCTACCATGAAGGGAAGAAGGATCGCAAAGCAAGTCCATGGCTGTGCTTTGCCATCTTGGGGAAGCCTGTGGTCCCACTGGTGAAGAAGATGGCCATTGGGTCCAGGGTCTTTGACTTAATACAGGTATGAACTGGGGATTCTGATCTGCAAAGGGATTCAATACAAAAGGATAGAAGTCATATTTCCTGTTTTTCCATCCTCTGGGGAAGCAAAAGAAACAATTAAGAGTCCTGGAGTCAGAAAACTGGGGTTTGCAACTCCCAGTATTAGGCACCAAACAAAGTTTATGGATGACTTGGATAGGTGGACTGACATTTCTTCATTTTAAAAAATGGGGAAAATATGATGGATTACTTTATATTTTAATAAACATTGAAATAGTATTTCCAATGATTCCAGACAGTGCTCTAAATGATCTACAAATAAGAACTCATTCAATCGTCAGAGCAACCCTAAGAGGCAAGTACTGCTTTTATGCCCATTTTGTAGATGAGGGAACTGAGGCTTAGAGAGGTTAGATAACTTACCTGAAGACATATAGCCAGCAAGCTGCAGAGCTAAGATTCAAATTCAGACAGTGTGATCCATATACTATGCTTTTAGTTACACTGCTAACCTTGTATTTTACACAGACTAGCTTCACGGGAATTTAACCTCATAAACTTGGTGTTGAAGGATGGGAAAGAGAAAGCTAGGGAGAATGACAGTGTAAGGAATATATATATGTACATCTGCCCTAGCATGAGCTTGAGGTGGAAGGTAGAATCCGTAGCTCCCTCCATCTGCCTCGGTTCTTGGGGAGCTACTCCTTGGCTGAGAGTCTCTTTCTTGGGCCTATTACAATTGTAAATGCAAGCTTCCTATAGTACTCAGTCAGAGAGGCTGCAAGTAATCCCAGTGCTGGAGGGAGCCCTGGCTCTTGTGGAGAAATGATACCATACTGAGTCTGAGCAATTTAGATGAGTTTTAATGAGTATTCTTTGTTTAAGCTATTTTAATCTAATTCTCTGACTTTAGAATCTAGCATAAGATGTGATTTCACTGTAATATTTGCCCTTGGGGGTTGAAGTAAAGAGCTTTAAAAACTGTGGAATTACTTCAAGAAAACAAATCCAGCATGGTTTTTGTGTGATATGAAAAATGCCTAAAGACTTGCGGAAACAGAGTTTTGGAGATGGAGGGGTCTTTCTTACCTTCAGCACTTCCCTAACTTTTCCTTCAAGGTGCCCCTATAGACACCCACCCCCTAGGACATGGAAAGTGTTTGCTCCCAAAGCTGCCTGTCATTTTTTTCTCAGTCTCAAGTTTCACCTTAAAAATTCATCTGAACCTTTTGTTCAGCTTCTTTAATTGTTTATTATTTACATAAAAATAATATTTCAGATTCCCCACCTACAAGGAACATGCAACACAATAACCCTCTGACTTTACACATCTCCTTTGCACAGGGGTGATTATATTTTAGAGAGAGAGCCATAGAAGTTCAATTTCCCCATTTTATACATAAAACAATTGCAGCCAAGAGAGGAGTAGGAACTAGCCCAAAGTTGCACAGCAAATCAGTGACATAGCTGTGAAGAGAAGCTCAGACCTGGTGAGCTTCCTCCCACTGGCTGCTTCTGTACCAGCACTAGGCAGTGAGTGGCTTTCTCCTGCCATTCCTCAGAAAGCACATTCATCAGACCAGAAACTCACCTAATCAGTGATCGGAAGTCCAGCCACCCTTTACGGCTGTGGTCAGACACCAGGAGCTTGGTTTTCAGAGCAGGACACTCAGAAGCCACAGAATCCACCTCTGGGGCAAGGGTATCTGTGGTCACGATGCCCTTGGCTTTAGACACTTGTAGTCGGTAGAGAATGTCCTTGGCCTTCATCTGGGTGGTCCCTGGCATGAAGACGATCCCTAGGGAAGAGAAAGAAATTGTTTGTTCTGGTATCTCTTTCACAGCCTCACAACCTTGGCTGTCAGACCTGGTTTATCTGCACAGACATCCCCTAACTTCTTGGTATGCAAAGTATGGTCCACAGCATCAACACCCCCTAAGACACAGAATCTCACCCCCCACCCCAAACTTACTGAATCAGAATCTGCATTTTAACAAGATCTCCAAGGGATTTCTATGCACATTAAAATTTGAAAAGCCTGCCCTAATAATTTCTACTCTAAATGGATCTAGCCAGTAGACAGGTGAGTCCTTCTCCATACAAATTTACACAGGATCTGGGAAAGATACAAGTAGGACAGTGTCCCTGACTCTGCCTCCGTGCCCCCAATTTTCTCCTCTCATTTCCTTCTCTGTCATCGTGAATCTCTTCTCATCTGTTGTCATCATTCCTTGTGTCATCTTGAATTTCCTCTCTTTCCTTCGTTCGTCATACCCAAAGTTAACTGCAATGTCCTTTGAACTTTTCTACTTTCCCTTCCATCTTCCATCACCAACAATTAGCTCAAGTCTTTGTGTGCCCCTATTGCATTCTAATTTCTCCACCAGATGCCCTGTCCTGAATCTTCCTACTACCCACCTTCCGTATTATTAGCCTGCTTAGTTCCACGGAGCACTGACTTTTTCCCCTCCACATTTCTTCTCCCCACTAACACCTGGACCCTGTCTCCAGGAAAACACCACACTCCCCATCCTGACTTTGAGTGCACTGCTCACGCTCCATCTTTCTCTCGCACAACTCTATTCTCTATTTCAAGATGGCCGTTCTTCGTATAGGCTACTCCTGACTCTAAGCATTTCCATGTGCTATGACCATCCTTGGAATTTCCGTCCTTCGCTTCTACTCCTCTTTAATTCTTCTTATCCCAGAGGTCTCAAGTCATGTCTTGGGTTTCTCATGGACCATCTCTTCACTATACAGATGGCATGGCTTTCTATACTCCCTCAGCCACTGCTGTTAATTCTTGATCTTGATGGATTAATCAACTATTTGTGAGAAAACATGAGACAGAGAATATGTGACCAAGAGCACGACATATTGTTGTATGAGCATGCATTATAGAACAACTGAAGTGATTCGAAAAAGAATCCATGAGTCCCATACTGATTATATAGATTAATGCATAGATAAGCAATTAAAAGGGAAAGGAAAATCTCTATAGAAGAATGCCAACTAATAAATGTAGAGGGAATGATATAAATAGAAAATCCTAATAAAAGATCACCATTAAAATATTCAATTCAGTCAAGAATCGTCAGTGGATTGTCAAACCATAAGGTGAAAGACAGTTGGGGAACAGGATATTCACACAGTCCCATAAATATTATACGACAGATTACTTACTAACTACAAAAGTAAAAGGTACCTCTACAAAGGTGGATACTACCTTTCTAAAGTGATAAAACAATATCAATGATATTAGGGCAAACCAACTTTATATATCCCCAATGTGATGCACCAAGGAAGACACAATATTGCCCTTCTAGTACCTGGGCTAAAAATGTCTAACCTGAAGATAATCATGAAGAAGGGGTCAGAAATACACATTTTGATGGACCTTCTGCAAAACAACTGGCTTAGATGCTTCAAAATTGTCATCGTCATGTAGACAGTGTAGAACGTAGAGAAACATTCTAGATTAAAGGAGACGGGGGAGATATAACAACTAAATGCAATGCATTGGATTTTTGATTTAAACCAAATAAATGCTATAAAGGACGTTATTGGGACAATCGAGGAATTTTGACGATGGATGTATATCAGGTAACTCTATTGCATCAGTGTTAAACTTCTTGTGTGATAACTCTACTGTGGTTATGTGAAGGAAATGTCTTGGATCTTAGCAGATGCATGCTGCAGTGTTTACCTGGTGTTTATGGGTGTCACAGTGTCTGCAACTGATTCTGAAATGACTCACTGGGAGAGAGGGCTCGAATATGGCAAAACGTTAACAATTGATGAATCTTATAAAGAAGCAAGAATGTCTGAGACCATGTAAGAGAAAGTGTGTGTGTGTGTGTGTGTGTGTGTGTGTGTGAGAGAGAGAGAGAGAGAGAATTATGACATTGTGTTTGAGAGGGTGTGAGTATAAGGGAGAGACTGGATGAGAAGGAGTAAAATAATATTTGAGTAAGTCTGAGAAAAAGAAAGACTGTGAAGAGGAAAAATTGGGGGGAAGAGAAAGCGCCTAGTATTTCAGGACAAACTGGCTCTAGGTGAGCCCAAAGGTCTGCTTGGGTCACTGACCTGTTCGGATGCAGGCCACGATCACCAGCCACCACTCAGGCACTCGAGGCAGAATCAAGGCTAGATGGTCTCCCTCCTGGAGGCCACAGGTCTGTGTGAAGACGTTGGCTGCACGACGGGTTAAGTCTGTCATCTCTCTGAAACTCCACTTCACTTCATCCCCTTGATTATTCACCCACCACAGGGCTGGGTTTGGACCTCTCTTGCCCTCCTGGTTAGGATCATATTCTACATGTTATTTCCTGATTCAAAGGAAAGGGGCACTAATTTGGCCAATCCACTACCACAGTCACATTCCACTGTGAGTGTAGCTCAAGGTCTGAGATCCCATTTTAAAACATTTATAGCGCCAAGAGAAGTTGGGGGGAGGTGTGATCCAGCCAACATCTTCTGGTCTACTGTAACCCCCTCGTCTTAAGTCACATAAAACCATGAAGAGCCTTCATGTTACTTATTGAAGACTTACAATTTTATTCCCCATGTGTCTGTCTTAGTTCCACATGGACAGTAGGTTTCTCTCTGTGCCTCAGTTTTCTCACCTATGAAAAGGGTATAATAATACTACCTAGAATGTAGTAAAGTTCAAATGAATTATTTTAAAAGGTCAAGTGTGTATAACAGTGCCTGGAATATAGTAGGTGCTCAATAAAATTACTGCTGTTATTGTTATTACAACAAAATAAAAGAGAATAATTTAATTCCTAAATATTTGAGGAAATTATTTTTTAAATTTAGGTACCTCAAGAGGTGCAAGAAGTCAGCCTTGGAAGCTCCAGGGCCTTTTTCCCCTCACAAAAACATCAAGTAAACAACAATTGACTAAGATGGCTTTGTAGGAATTTAGAAAAGAGTCACAAATCCACAGCAACCAACAAATGCCCAAACAATAAAAAGTCATAACCAAAATGGTAAGAAATTTTGTGGTGTTTTTGCTTATTCTTGCACCACCCGCTCTCTGATGCGGTGCAGCATAGTCAGAGGAAGCCACCCAATTCCCAGCCCCTCCCCTGGGATAGATGAAAAAGATTGAAACTTGTGTGCAACATTCTGGCTAGTCTGGAGGCAGCCTTAGGCACTGGTTTCTGTCTTGACTGACTTGGAGCTCAGACGGGTATGATGGCATATTGGAGGTATCTTAAAACAGTGGCAAATGTCAGAGTGTGTGGAAACTGTAGACCTGTGGTTACATAGGGATTAGAGACTACAGACAAAAAAGAATAGAATATTTAAGTCCCCCAGAAGCAGCAGACTTTTTTTTTTTTTTGCGGTACACGTGCCTCTCTCTGTTGTGGCCTCTCCCGTTGCAGAGCACAGGCTCCGGATGCGCAGGCTCAGTGGCCATGGCTCACGGACCCAGCTGCTCCACGGCATGCGGGATCTTCCAGGACCGGGGCACGAACCCATGTCCCCTGCATCGGCAGGCGGACTCTCAACCACTGCGCCACAAGGGAAGCCCCCTAAGGAGACTTTTAAGAAAATTAAAACTTTAAACAGCAGCCAAAACTAGAAAAAAAAGAAAAAGAAAAAGCACATAGACAGGACCAGGAAAGACACATGCCAGGGAAGACCTTAAGTTTTCATACTGAGCAGATTATATATTGAAGGTCTTTCCCTGCATGGAGCCAGGGTGCAAAGACTGAGAGAGGAGGCTATTTTTTTTAAATATCCAATTTTTAACAACAGATCACAAGGTCTACAAAGAAAAAGAGAAGCAGCCTATTCGAAGTAACAACTTGACTCTCTAGGAACTGACCCTAAAGAGACATAGGCTGCAGTTACTAGACAAAGATTTTTTGTTTTTAATTTTATTTATTTATTTATTTCTGGCTGTGTTGGGTCTTTGTTTCTGTGCATGGGCTTTCTCTAGTTGCGGCGATCAGGGACCACTCTTCATCGCGGTGCATGGGCCTCTCACTGTCGTGGCGTCTCTTGTTGCGGAGTACAAGCTCCAGACGTGCAGGCTCAGTAGTTGTGGCTCATGGGCCTAGTTGCTCCGCGGCATGTGGGATCTTCCCAGACCAGGGCTCGAACCTGTGTCCCCTGCATTGGCAGGCAGATTCTCAACCACTGCGCCACCAGGGAAGCCCCCCCGACAAAGATTTTTAAATGACTGTCTTAAATACACTGAAAGCGCTAAAGGAAAACTCAAAGAACTAAAGCAAATCAGGAAAATAATATATGCACAAAATGAGAATATCAACAAAGAGATACAAATTACAAAAAGATCCAAACAGAAATTCTGAAGCTGAGAAATACAATAACTGAACTGAAATCTTCACAAAGGGACTCAACAGTAGACAGAGTAGGCAGAAGAATCAGTACACTTGAAGACAAGTCATCTAAAATTAATGAGTCAGAAGAACAAAAAGAAAAATACAAGAAGAAAAATGAACAGAGCCTAAGAAACTTATGGGGCACAATCAAATAGACCGATATACACATTATGGGACTCTCAGAAGGAGAAAAAAGAAAATGGAGCATAGAACTTATCTGAAGTAATAATGGCTAAAAACTTCTCAAATTTGAGGAAAGGCATGGAGGGACAAATACAAGAGGCTCAGTGAACTCCAAGTAGGAAAACCCAGACACCCACAGAGAGACATTACAATCAAACTACAGATGACAAAGACAAAGAGAGCATCTTAAAAGCAGCAAGAGAAAAGTGACTCATCAGGTGAAATTCTTAATAAGATTACCAGTGGACTGAAGACCAGAAGGCAGTGAGATTATATATTTAAAGTGATAAAGAAAAAAAAACTGTCAACCAAAAATTCTATATCTAGCAAAATTGTCCGTCAAAAATGAGGGAGAATATGTATGGCTGAGTTGCTTCACTGTGCACATGAACTATCACAGCATTGTTAATCAGCTATACTCCAATACAAATTAAATAGTTTTCCAAAAATGAGGGAGAAATTAGGACATTCTCAGATTTAAAAAAAAACAACACTGAGGGAGTTCTTTATCCTTAGACCTTCCCTACAAGAAATGCTAAAAGGAGTTAAGTTGAAATGAAAGGACATTAGAGAGTAACTTAAATATAAAAGTATAAAGTTCTTTAATAAAGATAGATACAAAGACAAATATAAAAACAGTATTGTTATAATTTTGGTTCATAACTTCACTTTTTATTCTTTCACTGTATGGAAACCACAAAAGCATAAAAAATAATTATAAATCTATGTTAATGGGTAGACAATATGTAAAGATATAGTTTATGAAATCAATAACATAATATAGGAAGGTGCAAGGGAACCGGAAAACAGTAGGGTTTTGTATGTGAATGAAGTTAAGTTGTTATTAGTTTCAAATGAAGTGTTATAATTTGGAATGTTATATGTAATCCCCATGGTAATCACAAAGAAATTATCTACAGAATATTCCCAAAAGGAAACGAAAAGAAAATCAAAACATATCACTACAAAAAATCAACTAAATACAGAGGAAGGCAGTAAGGGATGAACTGAGGGACACAAAAGCTGTGACATCAAGGAATCAATTAACAATATGGCAATAGTCAGTCATCCTTATCAGTAATTACTTTAAATGTAAGTGAATGAAATTCCCCAATCAAAAGAACTAGGTTGGCAAAATGGATAAAAACCCAGAATTCAACTATATGCTGTCGACAGAATTGTTACTTCCATGTGATGGAATATGATAAAACCAATCAAAAAAACTTTCAGAATATTTTTGCAGTAGAAATCTTATAATACAATATCAATTTAGAAAAGCAACACCATATTTACATTAAAACCAAATTTATATAATAGTATCCATTCATTCATTCAATATATATTTGCCAAATTCTCATTTTTTCTTAGGCACTGTTCTTAGACCAAAATGATACAATGGTGAACAAGACATGCATATACACATGTATGTAAACAGTTTTAAATGTTTATGGACAACTTTCATTTTCTTGTTTAAATCAAGTCTTTTATTTTCCCCAAGTAAAACGATTTTTTAAAGTTTTTTCAATTCCCCAAACAAAGCATGTTCAGAGTAAAAGTTCACGCAAAGCACAATCTTACTAACAGAAAAATTTCTTCTGAACAGAAAAATTTCTTCAAGTTTCTCATCACATTTTCACTCCCTGAAGGTCAACACTGATAATTCTTTGGTGTATAATCTACCAGAAATTATTTCCCACATATGTGCAAACATGATCCTACCATCTTTGCCTCATATGATTGGAACAAAAGAGTGTGTCTCACCTGAGATAAGAATTATATACATATATACATACATACACACACACAGATATATGTATATACGTATAGTCATATCTATGGAAAAATCAGTGCTATGAAAAAAATTATTCTCCAACAGATTAAGGAATGTTAGCAAGTATAAATGACTAGTTGTGCACTGTCTATATAAGGGGAACAGACTATATAGTATTTCTATATGAGTTTACAAAATGATAGAAAGTTTGGCGTATCAAGGTAAAAATAATTTTTGTTTTTATTCAGACAAATGTTTAGACTCCTAACTCTTGCAACTTGAAGAAGATATTGCTTAAGCATTTATGGTTTGAGGTCTCAGAATTAATCTGATAATGTGATATTAAGATTAGCATGTTTTCAAAAGATAAAACACAACCTTTAAACTGGATATGAGATTTAAAGTTTTATGCAGTGAAGTTTGAAGCCAAAGGAAAATTGAGAAATAGATCTAAAAAATAAAACACTAAGTCAGCAATAAAAAGGAATGAAGAAGTAATACACAAGACAGTATGAATGAATCTCAAAAACATGCTGAGTAAAAGAAACCAGACACAAAAGAGTGCATCTTATATTATTCCATTTCTATGAAACCCTAGGAAAGAGAAATATAATGGCTAGTGACAGCAAATTAGTGTCTACCTGGGGCTCAGGGTGGGGATGGGGGGGTATTGACTAGGAAAGGACAAAAGGAAATTTTTGAGGTGATTGAAATATTCTAAAACTTATTAAACTATCATATAAAGTGTGTGAGTTGTATTCTAGGTAAATTATAGGTAAATACAGTTGATTTAAATAAGCAAAAACTTACATAGCTACTCCTTGTTAATCTCTAACTAAAATATAAAGAAGGAAAATGGGAAAGTAGATCAATTACTCATGTGATTGATGAATGAGATGATGCTTTCTGAATGTTAAAACACATAAGAATTTACTGCCTATAGAAAGGGCTTGCCTTATTTTTAATTAAAATGAAATACAAGTAGAATTTCTATAATTTCTGTAAATTAATGATAGAATATGATAGATTTCATAAAATTTAAATCCTAATTGACATAGATAAAACACTTTCCCCAACAATGATATAACTCACATTCTCTTCCATTGCATTTGGAATGTTTACTAACCTCCAGAAATTTCAAAACTCAGAGTATACTTTTTGACCACAATAGAATTAAGCTAGAAATCATTAACAAGAAGACAATGGGAAACCCACCTCAACTATCAGGAAACTAACCGATACATTTCTATGTAATCTATGGGCCAGAGAAGAATCAAAAGGCAAATAAAAAATATTTTGAACTTAATGATAATAAAATGTGACATATCAAAATTTGTGTAATGTACCTAAGAGGAGTGCTTAGTGGGAAATTTATACTTTTAATGCAGATATTGGAAAAG